TTTCCCTACCCGCCTTTGTCCCAGGATGTTATGAACCTCAACATGACCATGTTTGCCCATTGTGTGCTAACTTTAGGTTTTGCTTAGCATGTTAAAGGAAGCTGCTACGAAACCTTGGTTTGGGGTTTAGTGTGTGGTAGGAACTCATTTGTGATTTATAATGGCTAAATAAATGGTACCTTCATGCATTATGTAATTATCTACCTCCTTCTGCCCACAGGAGTATATGAAGGTGAAACCTGTTGTGACATGTACATTCATTATCAACACATGAAACGTCTGTTTTCTTCTTGTAGGAATGCAGAAGCCAGTGTCCCGTCATAGAGACTCAGTGACTTTAGGCTAGTCACTCTCTTTCAGTGGTGGTGCAAAAAAAATTGGAAGAAGGATTTCTAGGGTTGCGGCCTTGAGCTTCCCAAGGAAAGGCAGGACATAAATCTGGCAAATAAATAAATCATAAGGGTTCTATAATGCAGTCTGATACACCTTCAATCAAATTTAAGGTTCATGGTTTTCAGGGAGACCTATTTCCTAGGGAAACATATATAACACTGCAGTTTGAGTGGATCAGTACAATTAGGAAGCCTTTTCTTAGGGTCCTCGAAGAACTTCATGGATTTGGTAAGATTTCTAACTTGATCAACACTGGGGTCTTGTTATGCCATCCTTTTAAGCACAGTTTTGAGGCCAGGCGTGTGCGTGGAAGGTGCATGAGAGAGTAAAGGGCATGCACGGAAGGCCAGGCACATGTGTGGAAGGCACCCACACGGCCTGCTACATGCGCCAGTGGTGGGATTCAATTTTTTTTGCTACTGGTTCTGTGGGCGTGGCTTGGTGGGCATGGCTTGGTGGGCATGGCAGGGCAAGGATATGTAAAATCTCCATTTGCTCCCGATCAGCTGGGATTCGGGAGACAGAGAATAGATGGGGGCGGGGCCAGCCAGAGTTGGTATTTGCCGGTTCTCTGAGCTACTCAAATTTCCACTACCAGAACTGTTCAGTACCTGCTGAATACCATCTCTGTCACATCAAACTGCCTGGAGTTTGATCCTGACCACCTCAAGGTTGACTCAGCCTTCCACCCTTCCGAGGTGGGTAAAATGAGGACCCAGATTGTTGGGGGCAATAGGCTCTGAAAAGTGCTTAGAGAAGGTTGAAAAGCACTGTAAAGTGGTATATAAGTCTAAGTGCTTTTACTAGTGCTATTGGTAGAAGTGGTGGGTTGATTGCTTATTTCAGCTCATTTTCTTGGAATAGGTGTGCATATCCTTACAGCACCAGGAAAATAATCATGGCCTTTAGCTTCTTCTCAGATGGGTGCTCCTGCTAGGAGAAAGACCATTTTTCTGAGCATTTTGATTCCACGATCTTGCCTGCTTTATAACTTTGGTAGCCATTTTCCAGACGAAGCAGATTTTGTTGCAAGAACAGAGTGGAGGAACAACAAAGGTTAACTTTGTTGTCTTAAGCACGGAATTACCTTTTTCCCCCCATTTCAGTTGGCTTGTTCTTCTAGTAAGAGGCTAAACTGTTCCATTTATCTATTCAGCCTTTAACCAGAAGATTAGACAGATGGACCGTGCATCTCTCTATCTTGGTTCCAGAGGGACTCAATTCTAGACAATCCGAGGAGATTAAATTAAAAGCGGTAGCAGAACTGATCAGTTGAAGCTCTGCAAATGTGAATGTGCAGTCATGCTGGGGCAGGTAATCCTTCCTGTGGGACAATAGCTCCCACAGAGAAAATAGAACATTCTCCAGAGTTCCTTGGCGATTGAAAAATTAGGCCAATAGAAATGCTTCCGAACAAAATGTTGGCTTTTAGCGACTTGACATTAGGTGCTTCTGTCAATACCTCTGGATTCGATGTGACTCACAGAGATTCTTGAGCTACAAACCCACAGTTTAAGTATTCTCAATGCTCAACACCAAAGTTTAAACAACTAATAGGTGGCAAGCACATGCTGTTGCAAAAGCTCAACTTTAGATGATGGGGCTTCTCATGAATGAAGGCATGAAGATGATGGAGCATCTCTTGGCAGTGTTGGGGCCCACCAGCAGCCAACAGAGCTGGCAGCAGATTCAGACAGTGAGGAGGTTGAGGAGGAATATGGCCAGTCCTTGAGACTGGGGAAGGCTCAGACAAGGGCTCTGTGTTGGAGGCAGAGAGGGGGCCAGGGCCATCAGGTAGTTATTTGCTGCCTCCGGAGCCTCCAGAGGCTGACATCAGCGAGGCAGAAGAACAACGGGAGCCTATCCCCAGTGTGCTCATGCACAGAGCTGCCAGAAGGCAAGAACAATTAAGAAAACAGGATTGACTTGGGAGTAAGGCTTGGAGAAGATTGGCCCCTCCATATAAAAGAGGAGTGCATGGGACATGAGCTGTTGCAGGAAGCAATTAGTTCATCTGGTCAGTTCAAACTTTGAAAAGTTCTGTTTGACTCTGTGCTAAGTTTGGCCTTGCCCTGCGTTTGGAATTAGGTCTCGGGCAGCATTCCCAGGGAGATAAGGTGGGTGTTTATCAACATTCCCCTGAAAGACACTGGCAACTCCAGCAGATGTCTGTTGGAACTTTCACAGACTGTTTGTGGAAAAATAGGGACCACCTTTGGTGGGAAGGTAGCAGTGTTCCTTGTGCCTTTGGCATTTAGTCATGCTGACCACATGACCACGGAGACATGTTTGGACAGTGCTGGCTCTTTGGCTTCGAAATGGAGATGAGCACTACCTAACACATATGTGCAAGGGGAACACCTTTTAACGGGACTACAATTAGATTTCTATTACTCTCTTTAAATCTTTATGATGGTTGCCAGGATATTATAGGTACAGTTTTATATTTGTCTCCATGTAGGAATTAAATCTCATTGTACATATTTTATTTTATGATCCTTTTACCAAATAAATATTTCAGTTCAAATTCCTGTCACCTAAGATATATTAAATTAATGTTACCATAGGTACCTTTAAAAAAACGTTGACTAAATAGAAGTGTAATAATCATGCTTAATCTATGTGGCGCCTAGGAGTCAAAAATAAGTAGATGGCATACAATAAATCAATTATGCTTAATCAGGTCTTTCATTATTTAAAGGTAGCTTTTCCTAATTAGGAAAATATCCTGCTAAATGTATTGGGGATTCGTGTCACCTTGTTCACACAACACCTTAATCTGGTGTTCTTCGCTTATATCAATTTTCTTAGTTTGCACAAGAGATTGAATCCTTAACTAACCAAGCATGTTGGACTGAACTTAATTAAGCTTGTCAGTAACCAAGCCTAAAATATCTGTTAAGTCTTCACTTGCTCTGGCTAAGACTGTTGAGTGATCACAAGCATCTTAAATTGGTTAAGACCCATGGTTATGACCTTTGGCTTGGATTTGGTCTTCCTTTCCCCCATTCTTTTAATTTTGGTGCCAAAAATTCAAAGTATTAAAGTTCAAGATGAGCTAAGAGGTCATGTTCTAATGCTGCTCCAACTTTGCTAGAAGCGTTTCCACTCCAAGTTTAATGTTCTAAGCTGAACATCTTAAGGCTTTTAGCTCAAAATATTGGGATGGCATCGGAACATAGCGTAGGAGATGGGAATGGTCGGTTTCAAATTTAACTCCAAATGGGACACTTCAAGCTTAAACGTTTTCACATTATAATGTACAGAACACTGAGAATTTGAGATGATAAATACTATGTTCTAACTTGAAGGCCACTTTCCAACTTCACCAGAAAGTGAAGTTGGGCTTCCAGGGCTGAAACAATTCTAGAAATGTTCCAAGCTCAAAACGGACCCTTTTCAAATTCAGTTTAAAACTGGCAACAATGCTGGTTGAAGCTCGAAACATTTCGGGAAAAGTTGGAACAGCAATGGAATTCACCCAGTGTCACCCTTCCTGGACAGACCAGACAGGAAACACAACTCAATGAGCTAATTAATTCTACTTTATTGTAAGGCTACATTAACAGAATTTTGCAAATCTGAAAGGACTTGCAAGTACTGCCATCTCTTTCACAGCTTGAAAAGCTGGTGTGAGCTCCCTTCCCAGCCTCTTTCTCCACCCATTGGGCATCTGTGGGTTATGCCCTCTCTTATTGGACCGTTCCCTAAAAAGCATTTCTTTGCTCTGTTTCTCAAGGTCTTCCTCACGAACTCGTTACATCCAATGAGGTCAAATCAGCTTGTTTTCCCATGGCTAATTGTGCAGACCAGTAGTTCTCAACCTTTTCTTCACCATCACGGACCCCCTTTAAATACATTTTGTGGACCATGGCCACTGACCATGGCCATCAATCCAGGTGTGAAATTCAGCAGGTTCTGACAGGTTCTGGAGAACCAGTAGCAGAAATTTTGAGTAGATCGGAGAATCAGCCAATACCACCTCTGACTGGTTCCAGTGTGGGGAGGGTATGGGGATTTTGCAGTATCCTTCCCCCAGGAATGGGGAGGGAATGGAGATTTTGCAGTATCCTTCCTCCAGGAATGGGGATTTTGCAGTATCCTTCCTCCAGGAGAGGGGTAGGAATGGGGATTTTGCAGTATCCTTCCTCCAGGAGAAGGGTAGGAATGGGGATTTTGCAGTATCCTTCCCCTGCCATGCCCACAGAACCGGTAGTGAAGAAAATTGAATTTCACCACTGCATCAACTCCCTAGACAACTCAAGATGTAAAGACTTAACCATTTGCAGACCCCCTGTAATGACATCATGGTCCACGGATCACAGACTGAGAGCCAGGAGAATTTAAAAGCTCACAAATTTCTTTGTGTTGCTCCTATTAAGAACAACATAATTTTCACCTACCGTGCATTCCCACCCATTGGCATCGCTGTTTGTCTCTGCTGTCTGGTAATTCTTCGGGAAGGTCATGAGGCTGAGAAAGGCCGATTTAAGACAACAGAAAATATTCCCATTTCAATGTATTCTGTACCTCCTCGATACACTAAAGAAAAGGGACACCTGAATGAATCAGTTTCCTGACTTGTTTCTCTTTCTTGATGGTTCTAGGTTGGGAGCTTGGAAGACTATTATCATTTCCATCACAGCAAGACCATTAAAAGATCAACGTTCAGCAGCAGGGGTCCACACAGCTTCCTCAGAATGGATCCCAAGGTATGTGTGTCCACTACTAATATCAGCTATCACAAAGACCATCACCAAGGTGACCCCAGGTTCCAAAATGAAATCCAGGTAGCAAACAAAACAAAACAAAACAATCTTTGAAAGGCCAAAGTACACTTGATGGGTAAACCCTAATTTTATTTCCGTGTATGTTATTTTCCTGGTTTTTATGTTGTGTTACTGTTGAAAAGTATTCTAAAACGTACCTATTTTGTGACTCTGCTTTACTTAAATAAAAGACAATCTATGAATCAATGTCTGTAGTGTAAGGATAGAAAATTACAGAGAGACGGAGCCAAATACGATTGATGTAAGCTAGTTTTAGCTCCCTTTCCTCTCCTTTCTTTTCCTTTCCTTTCCTTTCCTTCCTTTTCCCTTTTCTCCTTTTTCCTTCCCTGCCCTTCTTTCATTTCTTTGTTTTTCTTCCTCTCCCCTCCTCTGAATTACTATTACACGTTCATGCATGTAATCTGTAAACCAAGGTTTATGGCTAAAATATGTGTAGCAAATCCAGTCCTTTGTGCTTCATCCAAATGAACCGGTGGGTTGGAAAACCATCGCGCTGAGTGACAACGTGAAGCCTAGGCGGCTCTGAGATTTAATTAATTAAATAAATAGCCTGCAATAGCGCACAGAATAGCCACGGCTAATTATTTTTTTATCATCCACGAGAGGCAAAGAGCCATTATTTCAAGTTGCTCCTCACTCTCCAGCCAACAGCCCCTCATCAGCTCTCTCCCACCTTTTCTTCTCTGTTGGCACTCTCACTGAATTGGGGAGGGAACGGACGGACGTGCTGTCTCTCAGCTCTGCTCTTTTCAGTTGAGATCTTTAATAAGACGGTGAATATTGCTTATTCTTTTCGCTGGCTGTCCTCTGCCGCCCTTCTTATCGTCTCCTCCTCCTGCATCTGAGCTGATTCCTGCTGTTCTGAAGGAAGTGGTCTAACCAACCATACAGTAGAAGAGGTTCCCACTTTCCAAGGACATGAAACAAACTCCTTGTCCTGACAAAAAACCCTTTTATTAATTTACTGTGAATTCTGCTCATTCAC